ATATTAACACATATGAGAAAACCAGAGTTATAAAGTTACATTAAAACAAATTCGAAATTTTGCTGGAATGTTTTCTTTAATTCAGTGTGTATAATTACTATTCACATCATTATTCTAAATCAAATAAAAAAAACTTACAAATTGCTGTCTTTTTCGAAAATTGAATTAAAATGTTCATTTTTAGGATTTAAATGGAAGAGAAAAATAACAAGAAAGAAAAACCTTTTGCCTCTAACTCTCGCTCTTTTGTTTGCTATAGGAACGACAGTCAGGGCACCAATTATAATTTCAAATTCAGACGTAACAAGTCTGATGTGGAAGATTTGGGGGCATTTATATCGACCAGTACATACGTAGGAGTGATAATAACTGACCGATCAATTCGTGCTTTTAGCAAATAACATTTGTGAATACATCTTTATCCATTTATTTTGTAAAGGTTTGCCTTTCTATGGCTCACATCTAAAAAGGAAAACTTCCATTAGATTATTATTGATTGTTATTTGTGGTGTAAAGAAGGATTTTTCTACGAAAAGTAGCACAATCTTTATAAAGCAAAAAAATAAAATCAAGAAATGCTGTCACAGGACAGCGTGATTGCTTATTCTCAGTGATTTATGGTAAAACAAGAGCCATGCTTTCTGAGTTCCTAAACGCGAATAATTCAGAACAAATTCATGCTAGAGTGAAAAAACAACTTGGTCGCTGACCCAAACTCATTATCTCTAAGCATCTAAAGCATCAATTAATGGGTGGTAACGGACATACGGTTGTATATGTTCAATATAATAATGGATCAACGTTATACCTAGCCATCATGAAAATATGTTCTAGAACATAAATATATCAACACAAACTGAAATACACTTGAAAGCAAGGCTCAGGTTTCTCAGAATTAATAAGTATTCTTTCAGTCAGAATAGAAACAGCCAAATAACTTCTCTCTTTCCCAGGATTGCTGAATCACGTGGTTACTTCAGACATAACGTGTATTGATAACATGGGGGCTACCATTCGACAATTCAGAAATTTTTAGGTCATTTGACATTATTGCACTTCTCCTTATGTATTAACGTCTTTAAAGGCCTTTTAGAGATATCACTTTTTTTAAAAGAATTTAAGATCTTAGCTGGGTTTTTTAAAGATATTTTAAAATGTAAAGAATTAAACATCTTAGCTGTTTTAAAGTATTGTAACAAATTAAAGTTCTTATCTAATAATTAAGTAATATTGTCAGTCAAACAACTACTCAGATATGTATTGTATTTGATCTTACTGGACTGCTCATATATGATTATGTAAAATACCCATCTGTGTAAGGTTCAATCTGATCTAACATTGTATATTATGATACTTGTAACATGTTTGTAACAACATACATATGGTCTCTTATAATTCTTTATAAGAATGACAATTTACATGTATTTTAAGTTTTATTGAATGTATATTTGTATTATATGTACATGTAATGGATGAGACTTAAATAAACTAATAAACTAAACTATTAACGTATTGCAATGAAACGCACCCAAAGCGTGCATTTGTTCTATTAATAAACATCTCACTTTATAAATGTCCTTTATAAGTAAAGGACATATTTAAATTAAATTATGGAATTATGGAATCAAATTACCGACACAAGGCTGAGTTAGAACAGAAATAACAATTTCGTTACTAAAATAGGTAACATTTGATTCTGTTGAATCTTGTCTGGCTGTCTTCTTTTCCATATATAACATAAATTATGACCTAACTAACGCCAACACGTTCCATGTTTTATGACCACTCCAACACAATATTTATTGTTTAAAAGCTGTCTATAGAGAGAAATATTTATTAATGGTGTGATATATAATAAATAATTGACTCCTATAGACCAATTGGCTCGGGTAAGAACAGAAGGGTGATATCTGTGCACATTTTATGGATTATCCATGTAGCTGAAATCAATATGAAGATGTTGGCATCTGACAGATAGTGTAATCGAATATTGAAATCAAGTTAATTTTTATAAGCTTCAAATTTCGACCTAGAATGTCAATGATTGACCTTTGAGCTATATTTCAAACCAGCTTAATTATCAAACTTGAAACGTTTTAAAAGTTTTTGAATTTTGAGTCAGACTTTTATTGGCAGCCAGTTACAAAATCGATATTTATCAAAATTTCGTGTTAACTTTCAAAAATAAATAGAATTTCTAAACGTTCATTATTTACCATTTCTATTAGGTGATTATTTCTGAAATATCTCAAGTATCTACTATAATGTTAATTCAAATACAATAGGACTTTATTATTCCTGCAATGACATTGAATGTTTCAATTAAAGAAAACATGACGACTGCCTTTTTGAATTATGAATAAATTACCAGTATGTAGTAGTTATTGTATGGCATTGAAGTGTCGGAAAACTTGATTGCTTTCTTCAGAATTATAATTGATACAATATTTTCTTTGTTTATTTAAAGAAAGAAATGCATATCTGTGATAAATGACAGTAAAATGCACTACAAAAAAATTCAATTCCATAGACTTTTAAAAAAAATCTTTTGCTCACATTTTAACTCTTTTTATCATAAATCTTATTGAAAATAAACACTTCTAGCTAATAGTGTGATGTTCATGTCAAGGAGACGATCATTCTTGCCCGTCTTAAGTCTTTTTATGTATAGTCTATATAGATTAAGCTTACATTGTCTGAATTACACAAGAAAAATAGAACTATTTGATTATATAACAGATTGACGGAACAGTGTGTAACAGGTATAATTACAACTTTGTAAATTGTGTAGAACGCTCATTAAATGGCGGCAAGTATGCGCGGTATTTGCATAATTGTGAAAGGCCATGCAGTATTTTGCCAGAATGTCTTCTGCTATGTATCACGTATGTTTAAAAAGTTGCTGCTGTGTAGATTTATATTAAATTATAAGTTGCTCATCTAGAAGACATCAAAAATAAGTTCATTTTTCATTTATTTTATAACTCAATAAACCGTTACGTAGGATATGAAGATTTGCGCAATTAATAAATTGTAGAAATGTTTCCACTATTTAGAAAATCAATTATATATTCATGCAGTATTAAAATTTTATTGCATTATCGTCGCAGCAGTTTTAATTCATTAATTAATTTCAATATAACTCTTTCTTTCATTTTATCTGATATTTAAAAATGGCCTGTAAAATAAACGAAACTATATTTCAAGTAATTGCTTACAAAAATGTATTAACATGACATGTTGGCAGTCAAACAATTAACTTTACCGTTTACTTGCTAGATGGTGTATTGTTCTTCGTCCATGAATAGGCAATTCTAAGGGTTATAAGTGTTCTAAGGGAATGATGGAATCGAACTGTGACTCGCTGCTTTCATTTGCACATGAAGAATCTTTCAAAAGGTGACTACAGTTTTCAAGAAGAATCATTTGCTGCGATTTGAATCGTTTGTCGCAGCGAGTTTGTTAAGACGATTTAGCACAATTGTATTTGCCTATGTGTCATCTCTTTTCTTCCTCAATTAAATTATATATCTTCAAACTTCTTTATCATACACACATTCAGACAATACTGATTTCAAATGTATGTTTTCAATAATTCATGTAGTGGGAAAAGATGCAAATAAAGACAATTTATAAAGGTTATAAAGCTAGTGAATTCTACGGATTGCTGTTGATTACTTTAGTTGAATTTGGAGACAATATTCTAATCATCATATTGCTTACATTATTTCCAGTATTTTGTTTCTTCACCACAGTACGTCATGTGTGAAAATATGATTGTGACCTATTTTTGTTGCATTTCAATGATGGGTTGGAAATAAACTTCTTGTACTATGTTATTACATTATTCCCTTGGATATGATTGACTGTATATACATACATTATTAAGATGATTTTACTTTTGCCATGTGACCTGACCGATTTTTTTCTCAATCATATATCAGTTACTATCAGTAATAGTGCTAAATTCTTATAGTGCGTTTCTGCGTTGAACTGTATCATTTTCATTTTCAAAAAATTTGGTCGGGGGGGGGGGCATAAAAACATGTGAGCAGAACATGGAAACATTCTTTGCAAATGATGTTTAGTATGATAAATCTAAATCTAGCATTTGTTAACTCACACCCGAATCCTCTTTAATATAACTTAATTTACTACTGAAATACAACTGTAGTTTATTTGTGTCACAGTACTATTGTATAGTTGTATTTTCTAATTATGGTAATGATACAATTGATTGTATCTTACACATGTCATTAATTAGGTCATGTAAATTTTCCAATTAATATTTATCTCATTTTCTACTCTGTAGTAAGTATGCAGTGCTTTCACACACGACTAATGCTCTTGCAGTGTGTGTTGTTTTCACCATTGATTTGACCAACAATTTAGAATATGCAAGTTTTCACTTGAGTTATGGTTTCAGGACGACTAATACGAAAGCTTTTGTAAATTCAGGCATTGAAAAGTATGTTATCATTCCGGGAAGAGTAAAGTGTGAGTCTGTATGAAATGATACTGTCTGGTATCACAATCTGTTTGTATAAACTACATGTATAAAGCAATATCAAATACGGTATTTATATAATATTCATAAACTGTAAAATTGTGTTGTATCCCTAATTTAAGAGTTGATTCTTTAAAGAATATTAACATAGAATATCTCTATTATTTTTCGCACACATAAATATTGTAAGTAAACAGAATAAAATGTTCAGGCCGCTGTTTTGAGTAGGGTTTTAACCGTTAAGCAATGATGCACCACAGGCTCTTAATGTTATTTACGAACATAACATATTTCTTTCATATTTGCATTTTTGGAATTATTCTTTTTCTGTTTCAGGTTTATTTGCTTAAGTTTTCTTCATTTATGTAAGTAGATATCATCATAGTAATATGTCTATACATACATTCTAGTATACACATTTATTCATATAAACGTTCAAATCCGATTACATAAAGAATGTATATATTAAATAAAAAATGAAATTTTTACTTACTTTAAAACTGTGTCATGACTTGATGTCTATTGCATTTGAAATCCAATCAAGCTATCTACCTGAAAATAAAAAGTCGAAAACATTGCCCATTAGATCCTTTTATTAATTTACCACTGATGCTTCAAACATCCTGAAGTTTCCTCCAAACTTTCGTTTAAGAGTGCGGATTTCGACAAAATGTTTTAATATTTAAAACATGATGCGACTGACGCAGATGTTCTCGTAGTAATTTCTGATATATAACACAAAAGTGATAGTAATTTGTCTGCTTTTTTATAATTTTCAATTTAAACTCAAAATCCAGAAGTGACCAGACAACTCCAAATATAAACGGAAATTAAAACCACTCTCTACCACCACTATTGGCTGAATAACTTTTTATTTTCTTCTTAATATCCTCAATTGATTTATGCTCGGCAGTCCAAACATGGAAGCAGCACAATTTCATTATCTTGAAGAAATACATAAGGTTTAGGGTTAAGACGGCTATTCATGTTAATGGTTAAAGATTGTTTACAGAATCAGCATCAATCACAAATTATTAAAAGTTGGTCTTTTTCCTTGCTAGTCTACTACTTTTATAAATACCAAAGAAGATTTTGAACCAGTGTTAATTGATCAGCTTTTTAATAAATAGTATAACCTTCATAAAAAATGAAAAAAATAAAACTAAATATTGCAATGATATGACCACTGAACATGGAAATTAAAACATGTTGACATAACACACGAAACATTAATAATTTGACTGGTGCATATTGTGACTTAACTAGCACACCTTTTACATATTATAATATATATTTTTATATAAACATTTTATATAAAAATATTACACCAATAGTATCGTGAGACACCTTTCAGCTCAAAACTAAGATATATTTCAAGGATAACAAGCTCATTTTTGCTAATAAACAATATAGATTGTATAATTCAATTCTATTCCAATATTAGACCATTATAATATTCTCACACAGTACTGCCTGCATTATTATTTTGCCATTGTCTGATATTGCAACGTGTTAAACGGGCATTTTATTAGATAAAACGGTTTCCATTCTGCCTCTGCTTCTTAACTTAAATTCATTTGGGAGGAGGTTTGTCCAAACACCTTAAAGGGTACTTTACAGAATACTGGACGATAAGCGGCAAACAATCCAAAGTTGGCAACAGAATAAATCTATCTGATCGTGGAAGGTGCAAAATTAATCAGTTAATATAAACTTGCAAATGCTACTATTATTTTATCCATCTTATTACTGCATACTTACAATTGACAATAAAACTGGAATTGATGAAAACTTTAAATATATGCATACTATAGTTAGTATTTTACTTGTATTGCGTTTGTAACCGACAAGAATGTTATATGAATACATAACTTTACTATAATTCAAGACTTCTAAGGGTTTTTATTGATTTTATAACAGACCTTCAGTGATGGTCTGTTTTTTTTTTCTTAGAATAATGCTTTGATGCAGAAAATATCAATTTTATTTCGTTGTAATTCGTCTACGAGGCATTTCCAGCTAGACAATCCAAGATGCGACAAAATGCCTTACTTCTCCCAGTGTTTTACACAGACAAAACTAACAGAACGTGCAAGACAGATCATTATAATAAAGAATTGCTTTTGAATTTCAAACGCGCATTACACATTAGGAAACTAAAGAAAGATTTGTTTTCATAATTGGGTGTTAATATATAAGTTTAATACAAGCTTGTCAGGCGTGTGAAACTACGACTTGAAATGGCAATAAAGGCACAAAACAATGCACCAGTAATAAATAGCCTCAAATATTATGGAATGATCCTTTCTAGTTTACATTTACGATGGTTCACGAATCGTTATAAAATGAATGACATTAGAAACAATGTTGTAGTAGGGGATATTGAACTGATATCTTTTCATAGAATCGTACAATCAAGATTTTACCTAGCTTGAATTAAAATGAAAATGTCATGATATAAATCATTATATAGCACACGATGGACACGATTAAATACCTACTGATGTCGTAAAATATTTTTGACACATATAAGGGCACTACTTTCCTGAAATTCAAAGGATCGTCATTGTATACAAGATTAGTCAATATTTTACGAAGAGATTTTATGTCAATTAGATCATTTCATGTAGTAAATCAACGAATGAAGATTATTATAAAAATGTATTGCATAAAACAATAAGATTATTCCTTTTCAAGCTTTGTATTGTTCAAAATTCATTGAAATGAAGAATATCAAAAAAATATTCTTTAGATACTTTTATTACAAATTACTCATTTGCATGTTTTTGGCACTGGTATTGACAGGTTTAATCATTATACTGTGTAAGCCGTAAAGATTTCTTAAAAAAGAAAAATATACGAAAAGAATCAAAAGAGATATTAAGAAAAGTTTTTATACGGGTTGATTTACTTTGTTTATGTGTGACAATGAAAAAAGTAAATTTAATACGTTTGTAGCATCACTAGCTTAGAAGAAAGCAAAAATTATACCAACACTGTTGCTTAAACAAGTCGCAGACAAAGAATAAATAAAATGAAGTTTCAATGCCTAACTTGAGTTGTTTTTTTATTAAGTCTGGCAGGAAATAAGTTTAGAAAAATCACGGAACCCCTCTTCATATTCGTACTTTAAGACAACAAGAAAACAAATATCGGACCTCCATCAAATGATTTAGTTCATTTTGCAATTATTGTGCTGTTTGTGAAAGTTATTACTTGTCTAAGTGACCCCCAATATTGACAAAAGCCTCAAACATTTCCTTCTATTTTGCTCTCAGACAAATGAATAAACTATTTTCCTACAGTGTTTGCTCATTAAGTTAAGATGAATAATTGTGTTTAAATAAAAAAATATTGTTTCAAGGAAACACAAACCATGAGAGTAAAGATCGCCAAGGGAGAACAACGCTTATTAAACTTATTGATTAAAGAAAAGAATCAGTATTCCATTTGACAGTTTCTGTCAGAGGAAACTCCTCGCGGATTTGTTAATAGATAAAAAAACCATCTTCATGTATTTACGTCGTATAACCAAGATCAATAAATATACATATAACAACTTAAAAGTCACAAAAATAAATGTTTCGTATAGTACAGTATGTTTTAGTTTTTTTAAATAAATCTCAGGTTGATATCGAAATACTTTCTATAGTAATTCAAACAAGTTTAAAAATGTATGTTCCCGACGGCAAACATTATTGCACAGTCTATACATACATGCAGTAAGTTGCTCGAATGAAGAAAATATTAAGTATAATTATATTATGTATAGTTAATATATTATCTGTATAAATGTAACAGTTCGTACCGATCACTCTTTTGAATTGATAGATTATCAAAATAAAATACAAGTTGACTATTTTAGTACTCAAGAGTATTTCCTCCTTAAAGTTTATTGTGCAATATTATAATTTAATTATTTTACATTTGTATTTGTGTTCAATGTGTCATCATGTACGTGTTTTTAATTTTTGATTGGCATTTAATGTATATACGGAGAAAATAAATCTGTTTTAACCGATACAATCACGCATGTATTCGTGCGACCTTATTATTTCATCTGTTCTATTTCAATATCAACCAGAGCTAAGTGTTTTCATTAAAATAATTGTCTACTGAACAAATTGGAAATGTGAGAAAACCAAAATCTGGTTAACAACATCTTAACATGTTTATTTGTGCTGTGTTGTGAATGTAATAAGCTAGTGCCTGTTTCCTGAAAAACCTTTACCGTTGTCTTATATATATAGTCGTGGTACAAGTAGGAGTTTGAACACACGGACCCGGGGTTGATAGGCAGATGTCATTACTAGAGTTATAATATGCATTTAAAGTTGTAATCAATGATACACATTTGATATAAATCATCTGTTACTGTCGGAGAAGAAGTATTCAGTGTTAAAATTTGAAAAAAAAATGGCAATAATAAGCAAAACCTTCAACATGATATTGATAATGAAAGTCGTTTTAAATACTATGTCATCTTCACCTAAAAAAAATCTAAAAATCTATTTTAATTCAGATTCACATCTTACTCGGCATTCAATAATCTAAAGTAAATGTCGTGTGGGACACGATCTTTGTGCAAAATACGCACACTTTGGTTAAGGTAGTACACCCCTAATGCACTGTCTCCACTTTGAAGAGTATTCAAATAGGCTAATATCACTGTAAAGTGTATTGAAACTGAGGGGGCGTGGGTTCAAACCCCAGAAGGGGCATTTTTTTTTCTTTCTTTTTTTTTCTTTTTAACATTTTTTATTAATCTCTCAGGCCCCCTATGGAAGAAAAAAGTGTTTTATTTTAATTATATAATTATTGTAGGTATTTATATACTAAATAATGCCAAATTTAATAGCAAATATGATACCAGATATTTTCAAAGTTTAATAAAATAAAAACTAAACGGTAAAAGTATTTTATATTTTGCAAGACCAACCAATATACATTAAAGAAAATTTAGGCAAACTATGAAAATAGCCCCTCATTTTGGAAAATTTAAGGGATATTTTAAATGAGGCTTTTTACATAGGGAAATGGTCAAATTAGTGTTAAAAGTGGGTGGGGTAGGGTTACATTTTTATACATATTAAAAACATTTCGTTTAAAAACAATCATTTTGCTTGTTTAATTTGTTACCTAAATGTCATTATTTATTTCTTATCAATGAGCAAAAGGAAACCGTTTTGCATAATGATGATATTATAGATTATTTAGAGTTTCCTTATTTCTGAAAAAATCCCTTCTAATGGCAAAGTTTTAGTTCATAAAAATGTCCATAACTCATAAACCACACGGTAAATTTTCTTTAAATTTTGCATACAGGTGACATTTAAGGCATATAACTGTCCTATGTTGTCAAATTTACAATTCCTTATAGTGCCCATTAGGGGTGTACTACCTTAAATGCTGGGATCTACAAAGAGCGTGTAAAACGCTTGTTCTACTACTGTAATAATTAAATTGCCAACTGCTTTATTATAATGTTTGAAATGGAGTCATGTTGATTTTTATGATTATGTTAAAATTACAGAATGTTTTATCAGGATTGT